ATTTTTCTAGCCACGATGTTGTCTTTTATCTTAATATAACTCCATATGCACCTTTTGTCGGCGCTATTCGGCGTGATTTTTGGCATATTATTCGTTTATAACTACATAAATGTAAATTGTAATTGGTATAGGCTTATCCGGATTTCTGTTAAAGGATAATGATAATAAAACGAGTGAAAAACAGTTTTAAAAAGAATATGTACAATTTATCCGTTCACTTCTTAGGTTGGTTTGATGCGGCCAATATTGCCTCGGAATGTTTTATAATTCACTAAGCTAGGCAAGTCTGTAAAATTCACGCTACCTCCTTCAGTAACCCAGAGTGTTCCGTTTACTCACTTTTCCCTAGTTATTGCGCAATATTTGTTCAGGGGTCAGTGTCACGAAGAAAATGCGTAAGCTACTTCTGGCCACCCTAGGTTATTGGCGATCCTTCTTGCTGTCTACAGTCTTCTTTCAGCCATCCTTTAGTGATCTTTCATAATAGTCATATACATTATTGCAATATGAACAATCGCAGGAACAGCAATTTCCATCGGAATCATGACAATTTATAAGATATTTGCTACAGTAAACATTTTCACATCTTTAATGCTTAGCTTGATTTAGCGTCTACTTTAGATACTGGCTGTGGATGAGTTGATTTGATCGGTATCTCAGAAGTGGTCACCTATTCTGCTCTTGGAAATATTATTTTTGTGCATTTTCCTTGCTTGCCTACAATTTTGCTTACATGGTACAGGAGGCGAAGTGGACTGTCAGACCAAAGTACGTCATAGATAGTTACCTACTTGTTTGCTGGTTAATGGGGCTCTAGAGGAGCGAGTCATAGAGGTCATTTCTTCCTGGTTGCTTTATCTTTTGGTAGATTGGTCTAAAATATGCTTATTCTTCCCCATTTTGGATACATTATTTCAATTAAGAGGATACATTCGAGGTAGCCACTTCCTTGCTTACTAGGCCAAACATAAGGATATATTTACGTTTGTGACATTAATTCTATTCTCCATGTTATGTCTATCATGTTCGTTGATAATATGAAGCAGTCAAGTTAACGAATGCTCTTTCAGCTTTGTTGACTTCCGTTCTTGAAAGGTCACGTCATGTCTAACGATCAATACATAATCTAAAACATCTAAATCTAGTACAAGTCGACATCAGAAAGACATTCGTTTGACAGTTTACTCTCCTTGGCCCCATTTCTTTCCGGCTTCGTTTTCTTTAATTTCTTTCCTAATTGGCTTTTATTTAAGTTTCTCTAGCAGACGGATTTGTTCGTTGTTTATCATGGTTTCAAGTCAAAATGTTCTATCGGGCTTGGTTTAAGCATTTAAATGTGGTTGATTCATTGTTGGTACTTGTAAAATGCTAATGATACAGGTAATGTATTCCCATCCATAGACCCCACGTACCTGCCTATCTACATTTGTCGGTGTCTTTGTTTGTTCAAATTTCGCCGAAGAGCGTCACTTGACGACCACGTAAACAGCAATTACCTTGACCACTGGTTTCAAATGCTTTCGGGCAGCTTCTTAAAGACAACGAGAACTTTGGCTCAGTAATCCACTTCACTTAACCTGTCCGATATTCTCGAATGCACTTGACAATCCCTGTCGTGTCTAATTGACCATGTATAAGCTTTCGATCCCGGCCACCGTCTCCTCTACATTCGAGAATTAATTCACATAATTGACCCATTAAAATATACTGGTACATGTGGCTAGCCTTAGCGGAGACGGCTCTCGAACCGTGATTCTCTCATGCCTCTATCTTATCTCTCCCCTAGGTTTCAGTATCTCCCTGTCCCAGTTATCCACTTTCAAACTTCAGTTCCATTCTCTCATTCTCTGATGCCGTAGGTCTGGATTAGTTCAAAACCGCTTCAATTTTACACTTCTGAATCAAGTAAAAACATTTGGTTTCCATTGAAGGCCTTTCATTAATTTCCTTTCATTCTGAAGTGCAAAATTCCATCCTTTCTCAAAGTTTGCCATGGTTTCTAAATCTAATGGGACAGTGGATAAATTCATATTTGATCTGTGATATTTGCCTTTCTAGAAGTGCCTTTTTTGCACTTAGCGTTTTGACTTTGGTTGCCAATAAATCCTATATTTATTCAGCCTTCTACTAATAAAGTCTGGGATTTGTTTCAACATTTTTTCTATCATCATTAAGTTACGGAATCTAGGATAGATACCATAAAATGTACAATAGAGTGACGAGATTGACTTAAGATTGCCTTTTTTGATCAGCTGTATTCAGTGCATTGTCCGACAATCGTTCAACCATGGTTAGGTCCTGGCTATGAAGACCAATATAGTGTCTCCTTTAGCTCTTAAATGTTGGTTTGGCCCCGTTTTCTTTGCCGGATATGCGTAACAACATCTTGTAGAACTTATTGAGTCCTGCTTATTCTGCCTTAGTATTCGTGATAATTTCCAGCATCATTCCATTGACTTGATATTTTCCCAGACATCAAGTCATAGTCACTTAGGTGCTCCATCTTTAGTACCGTGTCAGAGTAAGAAGTGGATATAATCCTTGCTACCTATGTTTTTATCATGCCATATTTGGAATACTTTGAAGTCTCTCCCTTACTCACCACATACATTGTGAACTATAATTCGGAAAAATTTTTCAATATATGCTTAAGTACTGAATTCTCAAGGCTGGAAAACAGATGTTATGATATGTTTTGGGTACCGCCATTTTTATTAATGTTATATCAGCAATTACAATACTTCACACGTATTAAGTTCCGTCTGAGTAAACCTATAGTTTTGCACCAGTCAAGCTTGTTTGTAATGCAGGTCAGCTCTGGAATCTTCTTGGTTTTAATCTATGCATTTTTTATTATAGAATGGTTTTTAGGGTCATATTAGTAGATTAGAAGTAGTAATCAGCGTCGTCTATGATCCTTCTCAAACATGTTAGCTTTCACTCACCACTTAGGTATTTTATTCTTTTTAACTTTAATGCTTAGATCCTTAGTTTGTCGTTCAGAATCATAAATTTGATCCTGCAATCTATAGTTTCCAGCATTTGCACTTTCACCGATACCATCCATAATTTTTTACCAAGATTTTATCCACTATACTACTTTGAATTCCAACTTACTTCCAAATTTATAATTAAACAGCCTTTCTTATAATCAAGCTGAAAGTTGGATCGCAGGAGCCGTGGCGTTTGATCCTTCTTAGAATCTCTTCTGCTATTTTAGCGCTTTCTAATCTCTTGGTTCTTGTGGTCGTGTGGTCCTAACCTAAACAAAGTATGCTTTTATTATAGTACATTTGCACCATCAACTTCTCGTTATTCACCAGAAAATCTTATATTGTTATTTGAGCGTGAGTTACTTGATTGTTGTTTAATCATCTTTTGATTTTCCACGAGATTTTTCGGGAAAATTCACGCTCTTTTTTCTATATTCTTCAGTTCCTTAAGCCGCTCATACCTTCCCTCTTCGGTCGCCCGCTTTCCTTAACCTGGCCAACAATCTATTCGGATACCTTTCCAATCGCAAAATATTGAAATTTTTCCCCAGCGGTGCATTTTGTGTCGATATATTCGCGAATTCTACTTTTATTAGAGTCCAAAATAACATTGGGCGGGTTAAGTTGTCTCATTTAGCGCTTGAATACGGAAACTACCCAACTGATACAGTATTTTTTCATTTCCATTTCTGCTGGAATTATTGAAAGCAGTTTTTCCGTCTACTTTCAAGGGGAAATGTCTCATTAACGCAATTCAAGTGATGGTTGGTTATGCTGACAAAAACTTTTTATTTATCCTTATGTTCTATTTTATTTATATTTGCAAATAATCCCATAAAACGGTCGAAGCTATTTAATAGACTCTCTCTACTACTATTGGTTGCTTATGAGTTAGGATGCTATAAAATTAACTTTATTATATTTTCAAGCTAGTGCAACTTATTGGACAAGGTTTATGACAATTTTTCTTCATTTTATTTCTAAAATATGTGAATTATTTTTTTCCTATCGTACGGATACTTTTGATTTTCTTCTTGTTGCATCTACTCCATAAGATAGCGAGCCTGTAATGTGGAAGAGGCCTAATTGTTGATACTCTATCCTCGAGTGTTTTCTGATTCCTAGTGTCTGTAGGAGCTTATTTATGATCGTTGCCTCATGATTCATATATAGTAATTTCAAATAGGTTTATTCTCTTTCTATGCTTTATCCTCATTTAATCAGCTTCAACTTGAAAGTTCCGGCCTATGTGAAGTAAGGTCCGTATGGACACTTTTATCCCTCTTCCATAAAATCTTCAGACGAGAGTGATCTGGAAATTTCCATCTTTCTAACTTTTTTATCTGTCTCCCTTCCCTGCCAGGTCCGCTTCTTCATGTTCCGGCCGGTTCTCTTGTCCACTGGGTCTGCCAACTTGCGGAGCAGACCATGCTTTCCTTTCTCTCCTCGGCATCCACCAGCAGTGCTGCTGCTGCCCCCGCAGATACATACAACAAACCGGTAGACTCTATTCTGCCTCTCTCCTTCCATCTCCTGGCCAACCTGGTCTGGTCCCCAGAAGCCAGGACCTCATTGACTCGAGTAACTTGGTGATCTTATTTTATTCCTTTGACTTGACTTGCGCAGTCTTATTTTGACCATTACATTTTCAAGCCTGTGGGTATCTAAGCAACTGACTGGTTGATCTGTTAAGTCTACGGCCACTAGGCAGCATACCGGTCAGCCAACTAATTGGGTCTCTTCAGTTTCTAATTGGAAGTACAGAGAAACTTGTTTTATCATGCAACTTTGTAGCACTATGGTCGCGTCATCTAGGAACTGACATGTTTACACTTTAAATTGTACTGGGTTTGTTGGTCTGACAAAGTCTAGATAGAAATAACATTCCAGCTCTGATGAAAACTCTTTTGAGGATGAATTGAGCAATTAAATTCGGTAGCATACTCAGTGCTTTATTATTATCATTACCTGTTGCTACCCAAAAATCGACTTATGTCATAGTAGCAACCCATAGCATAAAACAGGCATTTATCTGGCAAGCTCAACGCCTAGAGATTCATTTATAAAGATTGAATTAACTATTCAATCACAGGATATTACTTTAGATGCTCAATTACATTTTCTAGCACAAAATCTAAATTTGCGACTTACAGCTCAAGGAGCAGGTCGAACTTCATTTCTTAACTTTTTGGCCCTTAATAATGATTGCCATTTAGTATAGGACCTCGCTTTTAATCACTGTCATCTCGTATTTGCTCTTAGTTTGTGTTTAGACTTAATTTTCGAAGCTTGGCGGAGTCTAACTAATTTTTCAGCATTATATTCGAAATTTTTAGCAGTTATACTGATTCATCGTAATGATTCATCAGAGTGGCAAATAAAGTCACCAGGAATGTCTTCACTTCTTAGCCATATTTTAGCCAATAAATTTAATAGTGAGATATTTTAAACTTTTTTAACTCTATTCCTACTTTCTGGCCATTAGCGAAAATTAGACATCTGCTAGCTGTAGACTTTCATAAAGTACAGACTCTCCTACTCCTTATATTTCCCCAACACTTTTTATTTTTTTATAATTTAGTTTATGTTTTAGGATTGTTTTTGAGATTGTGAGATCTTTTATAAAATAAATATCTTCTTAGTTCCTGTATTAATATTTACTAGTTTACTTCGTCTATTTTAATCACTTTGATTCTGCTTGTTACATAGAACCTCTATGGAAGCATTGCATTGAAATGGAATGTAGGGTGTGCAATTTTCTCTCCCTTTGGTTCCTGAACCTGGCATTTTGCAGGCTATGCACATTTCGTGTATGAATGTCTTATATATGTTTTGCCTTTTCTTAATCCATTATTTACTTCCTATTGACTATCTTATTGCCCTCTCTTAACCGTCTCTATTTTTGTATTCCTTACTGACACTTGCCTTTTCGTGTCTACTAAGATTTTTTTTTTTTTTGTTGTCACCTTGTCTATACCCTCTTTTGAGGTCTGATTAACTGCCAATATTCTTCACCTTTTCAACTTGATTGTTACACTAAACGCATGTGGCTTAGATGCATACGTGTTTATGACTTTAATTTCTTTTTTTCGCTTCTTAGTAATGTAGTCGATTTATATAGCAAGTATAACTTTTCTTCGTCGACAATTCGACCAAAGAATGTGATCTGGGAAAATGCCTGGCTTTCCTTGAAGCTCGCATCTGATCCGTGACCCAATGGCACCCGTGATAATGCGGCGTTGTAGTTAAGGTGTAGAGGTTAGACGCTGCATTCTCATGGTTAGACTTTCGCTGGGGCTCCTGATGAGACCTGGACAGGTCGAAACTTCAATCCACTTCAGCTTGGATAAGGATGCCTTTTAGGAAGCAAGGTTATGTGAAATTCAATAGAAACTTATCGTGAAAAAATGAAATTACCAGTTCCCTTATCATCTTAATCGAAATATAGTGAATAGATCTTAAATTTCTTTGTCCTCTCAGGAGTTAGTCATGACCTGGATGATGATCTGGTTAAATTCTGCTAGCGCAGTGGCAAAATTAAGAAATAAATGAGTGTTTCTGTTTATTTTATTTTATTATTTATGACATTGAATTACACGTTGTCCCTATTATTGGTGCTCATGTAGAAACATCATACAAGATTAGGACAGTTAATACTATTATAAGGAAGCTTAAAGCGAATGAGCAATTATTATTAATGGCAGATAAAGGAGGAACAGTAGTAGTTATGTAAAGGATTGATTATGTAGAGAAAGTTTTGGTGGCATTAGACGATGATTGAAAATATAAAACTATAATTAGAGACACGACAGAAGCCCTTTTGGTCATAATTAAGGGTCTTTTGCAATAATTTGTAAACAGTGGAGAACTGGAAAAGTGGAAAATGAACATACTTCTCCAACGAGATTCTAGGCCTCCAAACTCGTATGGTCTGCGCAAAACTCATAAACAAAGTACCCCATTTGGGATGATCGTAAAACATGTGTGATACATAAAACTTCTCGATTTAAATATACTCAGTTAAAGCAAATCTCCGAAACTTGGAAACTTTTGATAAGTAACTCCTATGACTTCATAGAATTAGTTGAAGATCAGATGATAGTAGTTCGGTATATGGACGATTATTTTGCTGTTTAGCTGCACGGCAAATATAATTTGGTGAGTTCCTTGAGCTAATAAATGGAATAGATGCCAATATTAAGCTTACTATAGAGCTACATAACGAAAATTAATTGCTTTTTGGATTTGTTAGTGAGCAGAAGGTAATCAGTCAGGTGGAGAGGTATATAGGAAACGCAAACACGCAGGTTTCCTTATTAATTTCCTCCCTAACCATACAAATAGATTCAAACTAGTAGTTATGATGTCTATGATAATAGTGAATCAATGTCTAGCAGATGCAAACCACAGGGATCAGGAGATCGTCATATAATGTTTAAAAATAATTATTCATTAGGATTAGTAGAGGATTACTTATCAGTTATTGATAACAAGATGAAGGGAGTTTGCTATCTGTGGCGGGATAGCCAATTAGACGATTATACTCGGTTCCTGATTTTGCCATCCTGTCAGCTTGCGAAGCATCGGGTAATCTACCGACATAAAAACAATGAATAAAGAGAAATTGACATTTTCTTCAGTAGTTCCTTCGTTTAGAGAATATTCAGACCCACTTTCTCGGTCAGACTATTGCAAGATTTTGTGCTCATTTGGTAGGGTGTATGTGAGAATGTCCTGCCGACCAATCAAGAAGAAGATATGCGAACACAAAACCGCTTGTCAAGGTCTGTGGGTTCAAAGATCTGAGCTCGCTGAACACATGGCCAGTCACTGACACCCAATAAACTGGTCCAAAACGCAACGTTTTGTGGGTTACGGGGACTTCACGTCAAAACATAAGATTAGGGGGTCTATAGAAATTGACAAAACATCAAACTTCCTAAATAGGAGGGACGATGTAGAAAAGTGATTAGGAAATATTTGTGGCTGTTGGATAGTCTTAAGGAGGAGGAGAGAGAGGGAGTGTGGGAAGAGTCAGTGAGCAAGAGAAGGAGGCTGGATTAGCCTTGTGTTTAGCTCGGACTATCACACTTCCCATGCTATGAGCATTACCAACGCACAATAGACAATAAAGCAAGCCCAAAAGTGAGTCAACATTAGAGGCTCGTACACTAGTTTTTTTGTGTAAGGAAACAACTGCCACCGAACGCACTCTGCATGCACGCAGAGTATGATTGAATTAGGTAACCAAATCATGGGATGCCTCATTGAGATTGCGAAGTTTGGTTTATAAAAAACCGACTAGGGTTGCAGCCAGCCACCTTTTTCTTGGATTAGTATATTTTTGCAATATCACAATATATCGATAATAAATCTTTCGAAAACCTGATTTTATTAAAATTGTATACCCTGGCGTTGACTGGTAAATGGACACTTTTATTTATTTTAATGCTTGGTTAAATTTGCCTTAAAGCTGGTTATTCTTGAATTTGTTTTATATATACTTCTTTTACTCTTAGTGCTGATACTTTTCATGAAGAAAAACTTACATGATGTACAGCTGCAAGCTGCACTCTAAGTTTTATATTCAGCTTAATATAGTTTCATTGTTAGTTAACTTCTAGGTAACTCTAAATGCATAATAAGATATCGGAGCTATAGTCATCCTAGGTCGTATAAGGTGATTAGATTTTCCTACATATGAACAGACTGTATGATGCCACGGAATATCACCTAGTCTTTCTTCCTAAACGATTTTTTTGCATTCTGGTATTCTGGAGTTTTGATCTCGCTTGAATCCTATCAGTACTTCGAGTGGGAATCGATACCGAGTATGACAGCATATAATTTTAACACGGTGTCATTTTGCCACACTGCCACGAGTAGCCATGGGTCTCACAGGGCAGGAGCGAATTTCAAGACAAACCACTTTATATCACTTTTATAGCGGGATTGTCGATGAGCGGATTTCTGTTTTACCAATACAACTGACTACGTTACTTGTATTTCCAGCAGATCTTTAACAAGAGTTATAGTCACCCTAAGTCGCAGAGTATCAAAACCTACTCATTATCAATTCACACTATAAGAATTTAACATTCTGAAGAGTGAACTTAGGAAAGACAGGCTTGATGTTTCACTTAATCATCATTTCCTTGGCAGATTCGGTTTGAGAGTATTTGTTTACCTTTATGTATAAATTTGGTTTGTATAGTTTGATGATTAGAAAAATGATACAATAAGAATGAATTATTTTGAATCACAATTATGTGAAAGTCCATAAATCACCCTAAGCTTATGTAGCGTCACTATATGAACTGTGTTTCTTTGTCTCTTCCCTCTTTCGAAGCCATCTTGGAATTACCTCTTAACCGGTTACGTCAGGCTTTTTTCCATGAAATCTTAATGTAGCTGTGGCGAAATTTGCATTTTACTTAACATAGGTTTGGAGAGACGATTCATCTTTGACGTTAACATACATCCGCAAGGATAATAGTATAGATACAAAAGGATAACTGGGTTTGGATTAA